CCCCGGCCCCCTCAGCCTCACCTGGTCCGAGCCTTGAAGTCCCTGATGAGCTGCTCCTTCTCGGGCCCCTTGCTCACCCAGAATTTGTGGGGGATGATGTAGCTGGAATGCACACGGCACTGGGGACAGGCCCTGTGGGGTGGGAGAACAGTCACAGCTCACAGGCCGGCCTCCAAGCCCATGTCCCTCTGGGCGTTTCTCTCCCTCCCTGCTGGCCTCTCCGTGACACTGACTTGATGACATCGAGTGGGAAGTCCTGGCGGTTCCTCCGCCAGGTGCGCAGGCAGCCCAGGCAGTGGGCGTGAGTGCAGTTGGGCAGGATGCCGAAGATCCGCTTCGCCTCTGGCTTGTCCCACACCTTGTCCATGCAGATGCCACACACGACGTCCCGACTGTCCTGCTCCTGCTGAAACCATGGGCGGGGCAGAGAACATCTCACACACACACACACACATGCATGCACACTGCCACCCCAAATACAGCCCAGGGCACCCCAGAGCCCTCCCAGCAGGTCTGGGCATCCTAGAGGCCCAGCATGGCATGCTCTTACCTGCTGCACCTCAAGGTCCATGCTCTGAAGTGGGGCCACAAGCTCCTGGACAGGGTCTGACTGAGGCCGAGACTCCCGGGAGTAGCTGCGGTCTCCGTCAGCAGCTGCTGGGGAAACTGGACCCGTTCACGCAGTTACTCATCCGTGGGCGCCTATTTGGCTGCTGCACGCAAGGCTTCGTGGGCGCACGAAGTCCCGGCCCAGCAGCTCGGAGTCTAGTCAGAATTATGTCTCTAAGGCCACTACTTATAACCGTGCTGCCCAATACGGCCGCCACCCGCCACGTGTGGCCGCGAGCACCTGAAAGGGAGCTAGTCCAAGCTGAGCTGCGCTGTAATGCACGAGAGGGTTTCGGAGCTTAGTACCAAAAATCCATGGGCAGGGTCATCAGTAATTTTTCTCTTGATTACATGTTAAAATAATAGTATTGATAGTATATATATATCTTTTGATATGTTGGGTTAAATAAAACATATTATTAAAATTAATTTTACCTGTTGCTTTTTACTTGTTTTAGTGTGGCTACTAGAAAATTTTAAATTGGACATGTGAGTTATAAAATAATGTGTCCACTTTGGAAAACAGTTTGGCAGGTCCTCCAGCTGTTAAACATGTTACCATACAACCCAGCAATTCTACTCCTAGGTTTATGCCCAAGAGAAATAAAAATATATGTCCACACAAAAAACGTGTACATGAATGCTCATCAACAATAGTATTTGTAATGGCCAAAAAGCAAAAGCAACCCACATGTCCATCAACTGGTGAGTGAATAAAACAGAAGCAGTGCCCTGGCCGGTTTCTCAGTGGTTAGAGCATCGGCCTGCGGACCCAAGGGTCGCGGGTTCGATTCCCTGTCAAGAGCATGCACCTCGGTTGCAGGTTCGATCCCCGGCTCTTGTTGGGGTGCGTGCAGGAGGCAATCCATCGATGTGTCTCTCTCACATTGATGTTTCTCTCTCTCTCTACCCCCTCCCTCCCTTCCACACTCTAAAATCATTGGAAAAAATATCCTCAGGTGAGGATTTAAAAAGCAAACAGAAGCAGTATATCTATACAGTGGAACATTATTTGGCCACAAAAAGGTCTGAAGAACTGCTCCATGGCACATGTGTGAAGCTAGGAAATATGCTGAGTAAAATAAGCCAGGCCCAAAAGGCCTCATATAGTGTCACTCCATTTATATGAAATGTCCCGATAGGCAAATCCATGGAGATGGAAAGTAGACTAGTGGTTGCCAGGGGCTGGAGGGGGGAGGGATGGGGAGTGACTGCTAATGGGTTTCTTTTGAGGGTGATGAAATCTTCCAAAATCAGATAGCGGTGATATTTGTACAACTCTGAGTATATATATTGCATTGAATCATGTACTTTAAGTTGGTGAATATTTGGTTTGTGAATTATATCTGAATAAAGCTGTTAGAAAAAGCTGTGTGTGACTTATGTTTCTGTCAGACAGTGCTAAGTTATAGCAATACTATAGTTTATAAAATAACCACTAATAGGTAATGCTTGCCAAGCACATTACACATATGCACACCACTCTGCGCAGCGGGTACTATTATCAGTGCCCTTTTGTAGACGAGGAAATGGAGGCCCAGGGAGGTTAAGTGACTTGTCCAAGATCACACAGCTACGAAGTGGTGGAGCGCATTGGAAACTATGTGGTTTGACTTCCCAGGCCCAAGAGTATTCCACTTCTAGAACAGAGAGAGCAACAGAGGGGAGGAAAATTTCCCTCTGGCTGGGAATCTGAGGGGGTGGAAGGAAATATAAACCTTGCTCAGAGACAGAGCAGGAACCCCGTCTCAGGTCCCACTTGTGCCCACCTGCTGTGCCCCTGATGACTCACATGATGGCGACAGGAACGTCCAGGAACTGCCACCCAGCTCCTCGCTCTGGCTGGCCAACTCCTCCAGGCCTGGCTCCGCGCCCCAGCCGGCCTCGGCCCAGCCCCAACCCACAGCCACTGAGGACAAGTAGGTGGGCTCGGAGCCCCTGCGGGTCAGCCCCAGTGGCGGTCCTGGCCGGGTGACAAGCGGCTCTGAACGGCGGCGGCCCCACTGCAGCTGGCCAGGGGGTCGCGGGTGCTGATAGCTATGTGGGGAGGAGACAGGGGAGGAGACAGCGATGGCCTCTCCAGGGCCTGGAGCTGGCTCGCCTGGCACTTGGAGCTGAGAGGGGAAAAGGGGCTTGGGGGAGACGCATGGTCCACACAGGGGCGATTCCTCCTGTGTCCTCTTCCCACTCCCACTCGACGAGAGGAGGCGCTCACCTGCACCCATCTCCGTGGAAGCAGAAGCCTCGCTGGAAGTATCTGCAGACCTGGGCCACCTTCCTGTCTTGAGCAAAGCAGCAGCTGGACCCCCAGGGCTGGGCCCTGCGGGCAAAGGCCCTAAAAGATTATCTGAGTCAGTCACAGGCTATGTGACACGAAAAGAACACAGGCTCCAGAGTTGGTCCTGTGTTCAAATCCTGGCTGCTCGGGTAGCCCTGGGTGGGTAACTCACCCTTAAACATGAGGGGAAAAAGGCCTCGGGGTTGTTGCGAGGGTTTTTGAAGATTTTGCCCAACACACACAGCAGGTGCTTAGTAAACCACAGTGGTTACTATTGCTTCCTCCAAGTGCTAGTCTTGTGGGTCCTGGAGTCAGAATTCTGGGTTCAAATTGCTGGTACCAGAGCTGGCTCCGTGGGCATGGACCTGTGCAGTCATGTGCTTTAATGCTCTGCTGTTGCTGTTTTGAAATTCTTAAATTTTTAAAAATTATGTTTTTATTGATTTCAAAGAGAGGAAAGGAGAGGGAGAGAGAGATAGAAACATCAATGGTGAGAGTCATTGATCGGCTGCCTCCTGCACGCCCCCGACTGGAGTCGAGCCAGCAACCCGGGCCTGTGCCCTGACCGGGAATCGAACCATAACCTCCCGGTTCATGGGTCGAAGCTGAACCACTGAGCCATGCTGTCCAAGTGAAATTATTAAATTTTTGAAGAAGTGGCCCCAATTTTCGTTTTTCACTGAGTTCCACAAGTCATATAGCCGGTTTTGCCTGACTTCCTGGTAACATGAGCTGGACAAGGCATTCAGTTTTTCCATGCCTCAGTTTCTTCATTTATAAAATGAAGATAATATAATATTAGTACCTACTTCATGGGCTGATGTCAAACTTACATGAGAAAATGCATGCTACGTGTCGGCACATAGCAAGTCCTCAATAAATATTAGCTGTTACCATCGTTCTCCTGTTACAGTTACCGCCACCGCCACCGCCACCGTCACTGTTACCGGGGCTTTCGGGGGTCAGGGTGCCGGGTGGAAAAGGGCCGGAGGAGGCTGAGTCGGGCAAATGCGTACTGAGAATCTCCTATATATCCAGACCCGAGCCAGGGCTCTGGGACGACCAGGGACAAGGTAGAGAGGACTGGTGCTCTCGTCCTGTGCCTCCTTGCCTGGAGGGGCAGTAAGCCCACAGGTGAAGTGACCAGAGATCAGGGACAGGGACAGAGGTCAGATGCTAGTTCCAAGAGAGCACAGACTGCCAGCCCAAGCCAAGGGCCCACCATAGAGCGACCTGCACCATTCCCCAGAGACGGTCCGAGAGTGAGGTCCCGGCAGAGGAAGGGAAAGATGGGCGACAGGCACCCTCCTATTGGTCCCAGACTTGTCACACGGTCCTTTATTTATAACAACATGTGGAGCTCCCGGGCAGGAACCTACCTACCTAGAAGGCTGAGGTGATGGAGCAGAGAACCAAGAAACCAGGGCCAGGACCCGGGGAGGCTAGCGAGGCACTCACCTCGGACGACAAAACTTCAGGGGAAGTCGATAAACCTCAGCGGTGAAAAGAAATTACACTTTAGAGTGATTTTTAAAAAGATCAAAATTAGTGCAAAAAAAAATCTGCAATGAACAAAAGATCAAACTTTTAAATAAAGACGGGATTCGCCCCTGCACAGCGTAGCCGACTCGCCTCCCCCGGCGCAGGCCAGCACCAAAGGCACAGGGAACCAGGACAGGTGCAAAGGGCTGCAGCAAATAAACGGCTGGGGCAGGGGACCTGCTTCGGACAGGTGGCCCGAAGGCCTCGGGGGAGGGCCAGCGGGAATGATCATTATTACAGTGATGATTATTACACAAGAATTGTAGTAGTAGTTATTGTGTGTTTTTTAACCTTCACCCAGGGGTATTTTTTCCATTGCTTTTCAGAGAGAGGGAAAGGGAGAGAGCGAGAGCAAGAGTGAGAGACACATCGGTTGGTTGCCTCCCGTGGGCGCCCTGACGGGCCAGGGATGGAGCCTGCAACCCAGGCGCGCGCCCTTGGCCGGAATTGAACCTGAGACCTTTTGGTCTGCGGGCCGACTGAGCAAAACCATCTAGGCCTCAAGGATTTTAAAAAATTTTCACTTGCGCCCGGTCGGGCGTGGCTCAGCGGTTGAGCGTCGACCTAGGATCCTAGGTGATCGGGGTTCGATTCCCGGTCAGGGCACATGCCCGAGTTGCGGGCTCGATCAATGACTCTCTCATTATTGATGTTTCTCTCTATCTCTCCCCCTCTCCTTTCCTCTCTCTGAAATCAATAAAGATATATCTTAAAAAAATTTTTTTATTTGTGTTAATCTTCACCAGAAGATATTGTTTTCCCATTGATTTTTTTTTTTTTTTT